TTTCTGTACTTCAGCACGTACATTGGTGCCCCCAATGCAGGCATGGCAGGAGGCACCCATGTAATCTCCTAATGCCATTACCACCTTCTGTATCTAAACCAAGACAAAATGAAATATCTATTAGCCATACCTGGGCAGGTCCTAGCTCTCATTCCTAATAACCCCAATATAAACACTGTTGTTAAATATACAAATTAAATTTACAGAAACCAGTTAAATCTGCCAATAACATTACAAATAGCTGTAAAATAGGATTTTAACAATGGCTGAATCCTGACTCATACATTTAACTCTTTAAAATGGAATAGTCACAATAAACAACTGCACAAACAAAATTATATATGCCTATATTCCACTATGCCCAAATAATTATTATCTATGGGAAAATATACTTCATTAGGTTCTAGAACAAAGTCTGTTACCTTCCCTACGAAATTAAAAATTGAACAGTTGCTTTTTTTTTGTGCCCTAGGCATGAAACAGCTTTGGCCACAATACAGGCATCAAGCCAGGATGAACAAAGGACTCAGTCTGCTCTGCCCCTGATTGATATAAGAGCACCACCATCAGTCAGGTGTGCCTCTGCCCATAACCAGGGGATTACGGATCATAATAACCATCAAAGTGGCCCTTTTCTGACATTAAGTTACCTTCCTCCCCAGAGCCCCAAACACTCAAGTTTTCTGCTCTAGGTACTGATGCTTAGAAGCATACCTGCTCTGGGATCTGTTACCAATTTCTAAAGCAAACCTTTGGATCGGAGTGGGGCAGGGCAGCTTTCTTACCTGCTGGGCCAACTCTCGAGTGGGAGCCAGGACTAAAGCCTGGGTGGCCTTCAGATCCAATTCTATCTGCTGTAGAATTGATATGGCAAAAGTGGCTGTTTTCCCAGTCCCAGATTGGGCTTGAGCAATCACATCATAACCTAGAAGTGTAAATCAGAATTAGATATGCTAGAGAACACACATTATGATCATCAAGTATTCAGACATTCAGAATGTTTAATGATAATACTAT